CCCCAAAACCCCAAAACCCCAGAGCTGTAACTTAGTAGAAATCATATTAGTATTAGTAAATATATTCTAATTACTATTCTAAGTATAGTATTATTTGAATTTAAAATGATAGATGATGAGTTAGGCCAAAAGACTGTACTTTCCAGCTTAAAAGACAAATTAGCATAAAAAAGATATATATACTCTCACTATTTCAATAAGCTCGAGTACTTTTTCTCTCTCATGTGGGTTGATGTCGTGATGATTGTATTGCACGATTATCTATACTATGATGCGCTAGTTTAAGAATGTAATGATGAGAATCTAAATTATTGCTTTTTGCATTTAATGGAATAGATTATTGCACAGTCAATTCTTAAACTACTTGTATGCTAATTGATTACTACCATAATTATCAAAAGAGCTTTTGGCACTGAGAACAATAGGAAGAAATATATATTGCTAATTGGACTGGCAATTAACTATATTTTGATAAATATCATCGTTTATCCTAAACAAGACCACAATCCTATAATTATGTTTTACTATATAATGCCACTAATTTTAGGCTGTATTATTACTGCAATATATCTGACTTGCAAGTCTTGCTAAATCATAAACAATAGAGCTCAACTTAGAATTAAGTTGATACTGCTGTTTTTTGTTGGATTAGTGTTAAGAATGGGCTATGATCAGAAGTTTTACAGAAGTTGTGACAACTGGACAAAGGGAGTACAAAGTGAAATGAAAACTCTGGCTGGAGAATGCTTAATAGAGAAGCCTTAGATGTGTTTACTTGATACTTTTGACTTACTCATGGATTTTTCAATTTCAGATTGTTCGAAATCTGCTTACCTTCCAAATGCATTCTCTAAATACAACACGTAGAAGCCATTCATAGCTTTACATGATTCTAGGGATATCAGAAACAGAAGTGAACTATGGAGTTCTATCTATGATGTGGCTATGAATAGAGTCTAAGGATATGATACGTTAGAAGAAGCTTAAAAATATAATGAGGCAGTAATTGATGTTAAGAATGAGAAGTTGCACTAGAAAATTATTAGAAATGAATCATTAGTAGAAGAAAGGTAATAAAATTTTAAAAGGGCGGGTGCCAATAAAAACATGATTGTAATATACATAGATGCCCTCTCAAGACCTAGAGCACACTTAAAACTTCCTAAGACAATGCAATACTTTAAAGAATAAAAAGAAGTTTATGAGTTCTTTAAATATAGCTCGCTCGTAGCATTTACTGACGATAACGCTCAAGCATTCTCGTATGGTATTGATTTTGATCACTCTGACTAAAATAAAACATATTAATCGATAAGTGCCTTCTTCAAAGAATAAGGGTATATTATAGGCAAATCTCAGAATTAGTGCGACAGATTTTACTATCAAATGAATGAGACATAGGAATTAGTACAGCCATATGATCCTGCAGATCATGAAATGCTAAGTTTTGCTTGTGACCCTCATTATCATTAGATAGATTTTCCTGATTTCGCTTATATTGGTCCCTACTCGATGTTTAGAAAATGCTTATATGGCTAAGATACCTTTTAGTATGTATTAAACTTTGGTAATGATTTCATGCAGACTTATGATAAGGAGAGGAAAGTATTGTTTCTTAATTTCATAGATTACCATGAAGGTTCTGGAACAACTATAAAATTCCTCGACGAACCATTAGCTTAGTTTTTGAAATAGCATGGCAAATAAGATACAACAATAATTTTTATGAGTGATCATGGCTTTCATATGAATGGGCCACCTCTAATGCTTGGCAAGTTATTTGGATAATCTTAAAAAGAGAGGCTTTTGCCATTGATGATAATCTCAAACTTAGGTGATTTAAAAGGAGGTGGCGAAATATATAACATTTAATTAAACCAGTAAAAGTTAGTCTACCACAAGCATCTTTATAATTTCTGGAAGTACTGGGCAACTAAATAGCATTATGGGCAGAGTTTCTTTTCCCAATTCGATAATGACTACTTTGTTTGCAACGAAATCGGCCCTAACTGCAAATGTGAAAACTTCTTGATCAAAGAAAAAGAGGATGAAAATAGTAATCAGACATAAAATTCTAAATGAGCTCAATGAACCTTGAAAAGTCTGATATTTTTTCAATTGAATAATAGCATTTAGAAATACAATTTAATTCGAAATTTGCAGTTAAATTAAGTTACTTTATTTAATGAATTATAATGAAGCGATTTCTAAGATACAATAGAGTCATGGGGTTTTGGGGTTTTGGGGTTTTGGGG